ATCTTACAAATCTATGTAAAAACATTGATAAAATATTTATATTTGAAAATTTTAATTTAGCTAAAATTAAAATGATTTAAATAAATTCAGTTTAAAAATTAATTCTAATTTCCCTCAGTACTTCACCTATATTTCACTTATATTCATATTTTTAGTCTAAAAGATAAAATTTATCGTCAGTTACGAATACATCGTCTTCTACAACACCTCTATTATGTCAGTTTTACTATTAGCAGAATCCGTATACAACTGTCATCAGAATCCGAATCAGATTTCCCTAGCGAAAACATCAATTACGTGGCTACATTACACTCATCAGCTGGGCTGTTGTCAACTATGACGCGTTATTATTATGTCATTCTTTCTATACACTGTTTCATATCATGCCCGATTTGAAAAGGCAGTAAATTGATTATATTTTGTACCAGAGAGCATTTTATTTATTGAAATGCTGTAGATGCATTAACAAAGGATTATAAAATTTAAGTTATTTGGCTTGATGAAAAGTTAATAGGTTTGTATTTATACTTATTAATTTCTAGAAAGTTGTTTTAAAAGTTTAAATCAGTTTTCAAACAAAAAACTTCTTCAATATTTACAAAATCTGGCTGGTTTTATAAATCTTGGTTGTTTATTCATTAAAATCTTTTAATCCGTAATCGACAAAGAAATCCTTTTTATCCTCAAATTTAATTCAACACTTAAAAAGTATGAAGCACTTGCTAAAGCCAATTAGCAAAACCTTCTATATAACCCTCATTGAATTATATAAAAAAAAAAACAAATGTGTTTTTGAAAAGTTGTCGAGCTAAAATATAGTTTTTTATATTTAAAAACTTGCGAAGTTTTGGGAAGTTTAAAATATTCAAATATTCATAAACAAAGAAACGTACTGCCACACAACAGCGAAGGAAATACTTGAAGAACTTTCAAAACTCTTTCAATTTTATCAAAACTAACGAGAAACTAAAAAGCTTCAAGGCTTTCTTAAGAGCAATGCTCTGTAGCTTACTTTGAGACATTGATATCTAATTAGTAATAGAACTTTTAGACAATGAGCATGTTTAAGAAAGTTTTATAGTCTATTTTCATCATTAAATCTGAAAATTGCATTTCATATTTTTTTTTTGGACTTATAGTACTTAGGTTAAAGAGAATGAAATACCTATCTATGGTATTTCCCAAAGAATGGTAAATATTTTAAACAGGAGAGTGAAATAAGTTCCTTTTTTTAATGCGAGCGAATTCACCTAATATTACGAGATTAATCAGTATTTTTATAATAACCTAATTTACTACCAAGTTTTAAATCTAGATGTCACCTCTGTTCAATACTAGTTATTAACATATTCTGCACACTTCGATATTGTGGCTCATATCACTAACTCTGCTTTATCACAGTTTTTACATTTTTCTAGGAACTTTTATTTTCCCTATACCCTGCTATAGGAGTTATCCTCCTTTTCAGGGTGGTTTGTCCTGATTACAATAAGTAACCTAGCTACTAGCTATTTCCTAAGTTTGTCATGTGCGCGTGTGGGACCTGTGTGGCAGGTTGTGTACCCCAAAATTATCGCCAATTTTGCTATTTCCAACCTCGTAAATGGACACGTCCAAATATAAGGTGAGGAATATGATTTAGGGAAACCACAAAAATCTAAAGGATTGTACAAATAGTATGAATTTCTACTTATATGATTGGGAAGGGTTTATCTAATGTTTAGGGGGGCTGATTCCAGCAGATCCTGGAGTTCAGCGGTTAGGGGGAGGTCTTGGGAGTCTAAGGGAAGTCTCAGATTTGGTTGCGGCATTTTTCTTTTCGGTTTTCGAAAAAGTGGGAGTCGCCCTGGGCACTACGAGGTTCGTAGTGTGTCGGTGCCTTTCAGCGTGCTAGAGACATATTGTTTCCTGAGGATTTGGAAACGTGTGAGGATGGGGGAAAGATGGTTTCAGGTAGAAGTTTCAGCGTTCTTCTGTGAATGGAATCAGGCTCGGAGGCCGTGTTTTTGCTTGTTTGGCAGTCATATTGGATGTCTTGGAGGGTGAGTGGGGAATGGGGTTTTCGACATCCAAAGATGGGACTGTGGCTGCGAGTGTCTGAAGGACGTATTGTTCGATCTCGTGTTTGAATTGTTCTTCAAAGTGGGGGGTTGTCGGGGGTTCTGAAAGTGGCTTCAAGGTGGGTTTTGTGAGCTAGGGCTTTTTCGTCGGATGTTGAGTGGATTTGTCCGTCGATTTGGATGTGAGAGTGTGATTTGGATTTTTGACCCGTGATGAGTCTCAATGATCCAAAATAGAAGTGGTATTGATCCATAGTTGCTGTTTGCGTAAGGGCGCTAAGGTGGTTCCATTCAGTTTTGATGACTGGGTCGGGTACGGACATATTGTCTATACAATCGTCATTTTTGGGAGATGAGATTTAGTATGAATGGGCTTTTTGTGCTTACACAGGCTTTAAAAAGTGTGACTCATTTAAGCCTGCGCATTAGATCTTGTTTGTCTTACAGTTGGATTATTTCAATGCTGATGTGTTTGCGGAACCTCTCCTCATGTCTTTCGGCAAATTTCTTAATTTTTTCTGGAATTGATTCACCTTGGAGTTCTCAGTGCAGATCTTTATTTCAAACATACCAAGGAACATTAATTATCTGAGAATTCGGTTTCGGACTATTTCTAGGCAATTATAATAGCTTTTTCTGGTACACCCCCATAATTGTAGGCTATGTATCCATACTGGCTTTAGAACTTCTTTGTAAATCAGAACTTTATTTTGAGTGGAAAGTAAAGAGTGCTCTCTTATCAATACATATTTCTATATTTAATCTTTAGCTGTTCAGTTTTTATTTTTACATGCTCCTTCCATTTTAATTTATAATCCAGATTTAGACCCAGCTTATTTGGTATATTATTGTTATTTAAGTTTATTGGTATATAATCTATTCTTCTATTGGTAAAGTTAATTTGACCAGATTTTCCTTCGTTCATTTTTGTGCGCCAATGTTTAGACTAGATTTGTATGCTATCGATTCCATTTTAAAGATTAGCTATTCTTTTTGCTATAGTTGATCCTATGGTTAAGACAGCTCTATAATTAGCGAATGAGGCTAATTTTATATTTTCTTCTTCTGTTTGATAAATATAATACTGGCCTAAGAACACTTCCCTGTGGGACGCCAGCATTTATTGACTTGAGTTGAGAGTATTTGCTTTCCATTTTAACTTTTAATGTTTGCTGCGATAGATATGATTCTAGTAGTTGGACATATTGCATCGAGAAACATTTCTTTATTTTAAATAGTTGGCCTTGATGCCACACATCGAATTCTTTTGAGATATCAAGAAATGCAGTATAATATAAATTTTTTACCAATACTTGATAAGACGTTGTTGTAGTCTTCTCTTTTGAGATTATAACGGAGTGGAAAATAGGCAGATGCAATATTGAGTATATATTATTTGTTTTAACAGATATGCTAACAGCTTGTATTTCAATTTTTCCTCGTTCATAGTATTATGTTATTATTAATAATAATAAAAGCTGTACCTCGACCAGAATTGTTTAAAATCATCTATATCTATAACTTGGAAACTACGCATTTTCTCACCACCGGATGTGGGTTCTTATTTAGTCGTTACCACAACAAGAGTCCTTATGGCAACAGTTTCTCTGTAATTGATTTTAGCAAAACTGTATATAGTAAAATTAAATTATGTATAACTTAGTAACTAAGCATTTGCTCATCACTGGATTTGGGTTTTGTTAACCTATGGCAACAGTTTCTTCGTAACTGATTTCAGCTAAATTAAAATATTTATAACTCTTGACAACTACGCATTTCCTCACAACAGAATTTTGGGATTTTTGTTTAGTTATTACCATAACAAGCGTTTTAATGGCAGTTGCTTCTCCATAGCTGATTTTAGCTAAACAAAAGTGGTGAAACTATATTACCTATAACTGGGCAAATACGCATTTCCTTACCACATGATTTGGGTTTTTGTTTATTCATTACCATCACAGTTGTTCGAATGACAACAGTTTCTGCACAACCGTTTAAGAGAAGTTAAGCCAAAAAATGCTTTTTTTGGTGTATCGAAGACGTATTTACTAACCTCTAACAACTCATGTTCCTGTATGTAAGCCGTTCATTTTTATTTACATTTATATAACGGTTACAAAAAATATGTGCAAATAGTATCCTGTGATCTCTAATGTAACATTCAGATTGCTGTGGGAATTCCGGAAACAACTTTTGCATATGGCAGGGAAATAATGCATAAAACATAATTTGTCAAGAAACACAGTGCGAACACAGGCTTGGTTGTAGGTCAAATATAAACGGAGGACCTACTGGATACGGAGGTCCACAAGCATGGACGTCAAACCGAAAAGGGGGTCATTAAGTGGCGCTCTCCCCCCGGTTCCATTGTTTATTTGTAATAAACTTATTGAAATAAATATTAGTAAAAATAATTAAATGGCTCAGAAATGTTCATTATATTCGACTTTGTCTCTTGTCCCTTCCTTAAAATATTCCTGTAGACGCACCTGCTGGGAGGATAGGAGGAATTTATATCAAAAACCGCTAGCAAAAGAATTTCCGAAGTTAATACGGACGGTTTCAAACAAAAGATTAAAAAATAAAAAATAAAAAAATCTGTGATTCGTTACATTTAGTACGATATAATTCGGAAGGGGCAGATAATTGACAAATGTTCTCTTTACCGATATCTTTCATTTGACATACATCTTAGTTCTGTTGGGGAGTAGGGCAAAATGGCGTTCACATTTCTGTTTCGTCAACTGCACGTGTAACATAGGAATTTTTATTTGCAGATAAATGCTGATAACTTTCCTCTTAGCTTTTTTTTTGAAAAATCGGTTACATTTTTTTTTAAATAAATTTCTACTATAGATACAATATTTACCATTCCTTATGAAACTTATTCGCGTTTACAAGTTAATTAGCCTTAATATCTAGGATTATATCGTTTCGTACCTGTTATACATGAGAACATCGGGCTTCCAGAGTCGATTGGGCGGAATACGGAGATCTTTCACCCCACCGAATTCCGAAGAATTCCATCTCAAGTTCATATCGTTCCATTCCTGAAATAACAAGGAATTCCGTTAGTCAAACTTGTTTAAGGATTATACAACTTTGGGAAAGTGAAAAAGTGACTTGATTTATTAGTAACACTTCAGTCATAAATCGACAGGTATTTCGAAATACGGACTTACAAAAAAAGCAGTAAAAGTAATTTGAAGTATTAAAGAATAATAATGATAAATAATTTATTTACCAATGGCCTTATACAATAATTATGTTTATATTATACTAAATTAAATTAAATAATTCAATGGTAAATAAAGATATGCTCAAATAAATTCTATGAAAAATTTGTCTATGAGCTGACACATTCAGTTTATTGTTTCATTTTTCATATAATTCAAAATGACATTGAACTACGATTTTTTTATATAACAGTAATACAATTCAAATATAACATATACATATAATTATATTTGTAAGTTTAGATAAATTATAGAATGTCTACATTGATTTCTTGAATACAGTTTTTTGTTTAATTGATTTATGTTTTTGGTATTTTTTGTTTTTTTTTTTGTTGATTTATTTTAGAATCAGTGACTATTTAATAATTTTAACATTTATCAAGATGGATCGATATTATCATGAAATATCAATTTATATTGCGACAATATCAATTGTTTCAATTTTCTTTTAAAACTTTGACAACTCTTATTAGATTTTAAATCAAAAGGTAATATATTTTGAAATCTAGGCTCTAAATAAGTGAAGCATTTTTGGCTAATCGTTTTATATGCAGGAATACAAGTACTCGATGCATTTCACGTAGTATAAAAATGTAATGAATGTAATGAATCCTAGGACCTGTAACTGGGGAGCTTTCAAGGAAGAACTCAAAGAGGGACTGGAGGACTGTGATCCGATACCGAAGAATTAAGTGTAAGTTGAGTTTATGTCAGAGTTTCTGACACGAACCCTAACCAACACGTTTCAAAAAACTGCCCTTTAAAAATTAGGAAAGAGGATCGAGACGCTGTATGGTGGAATCGAGACCTTTCCAAAAAAAGAGCAGAAGTTCGTAAACTCTTTAACCTGTCCAAAAGGTCGGGGAACTGGAAAGCCTATAAGGCGTACCGGAGAGAATATGGCTATGCCATTAGAAAAGCCAAAGACATTTCCTGAAAGAAATTCTGTGACGGCATTGAAAGCCTTCCAGAATGTGCCAGACTCAGGATAACTCTACAGAGATGCATGGGATCTCTGAAAAATCAACAAGGAGAACTCACAAAAACAGAGGAGGAGACGTTAGATTTACTACTAAAGTCACACTTTCCTGAATGTGAGATTATTTTTGACCAAGAGAACAGGAGTACTGAGGCACTAATTTCTAGGGCCTTAAAAACAAACAGGTCTCTTGCAAACTCAATAGTAAACAGAAAACAATTTGTATGGGCGATAAATTCCTTTTAACCACACAAAACAGCTGGACCTGATGGTATAATCCCGGCACTTCTACAAAAGGGCCAGGAAGTACTGGAGGGACCACTGTGTAAACTATTCCGAGCTAGCATAGCCCTCGGATATGTTCCACAAAGAGTGGTCTTCATTCACAAACCCGGGAAAGCGTCTTACGAGGAGACCAAATCTTTCAGACCAATCAGCCTAATATCATTTCTCCTAAAAACGTTGGAGAAATTGACCGATAGATACAATAGGGGACGATGTTATATGGGATAAACCGATACATCGATACCAGTTTGCCTACGAATCTGGAAAGTCTTGCGATGCTGCTATACATAGGCCAGCTCAACAAGCTGAACAAGCATTGGAAAGCAAAGAAATAGCACTAGAAGTCTTCCCAGATATAGAAAGAGCCTTTGACTCGGCTTCATACAATTCAATACTGGGATCTATGCACAGGCGTGGAGTAGCCCACTGCATTACGAGGTGGGTTGAGTTCATGCTTAATCATAGAACCATTACCAGTAATCTCCTTAACACAACAAGAGAGGTCTCAGTTAACAAGGGATGCCCGCAGGGAGGAGTGTTATCTCCTCTTATGTGGACCTTGGTGGTTCATGACTTCTTATGAGAGTTAGAGAGAGAAAACTTATACACGCAAGCATTTGCAGAAGACATAAGCATCGTAGTAAACGGTAAATTTGGGTCTGTTATATCCGAAAGGATACAGCGGGCACTAAATATCGTCGAAAGATGGTGCCTAAAAGAGGGATTGTCCACAAACCCGACAAAAACCTCTGTTGTTGCATTCACAAGAAAAAGAAACCTTCAAGGAATGAAGGAGCTTTATATGTGGGGACAACATCTAAAAATGGCAAAAGAGTTTAAATATCTTGGAATCACTCTTGATGACAGCTTAGCTTCTGCAGCCATATAGAAAAACAAAAGAAAAAGCTGTAATAATACTATGGGCCTGTAGACAGATGGTAGGGAACATATGGGGGCTTAAACCAAGTATGATGCACTGACTTTACACTATGGTTGTAGTACCTGTTATAACTTACTCATCAGTCATATGGTGGCACAAGACTAAAAGCATAACAGCTAACAGAAAATTAGACAAGGTGCAAAGACTAGCCTGTCTAATAATAACAGGGGCATTTAGAACTACGCTTACAGCAGCAATGGAGCTACTGCTAGGTCTTCCTCCACTACACCTTGTGGTGGAGAAGGAGGCTATGGCGGCGGCATACAAGCTGTTAACCAATGGATTTGGATGGGAACTTTCGAGGAAAGGACACCACACAATGATATTAAAGAAATTTAAACAATATCCGGTACTTAGAATGCCATCGGATAGAACGCCCATTATTCACGACTTCAGGAAACCTTCCGATATTCAAATACCAGAAGGGAAAAACATAGGGACACTGAGGATGTACGAAGGCTTCCATCTTCTATAAGTTCTTTGAGGGTAAACTAACAGTGGTAGTAGATTTTTTTGGAGTGTGCGAAAGTGGTTTTGTATTGTTTGTTTTTGGTTTTTCGTTACTGATTTTTTTCTTTACTATGTTGTGGTTTTACTTTTATTTCAGTTTCTTTGGTTTTTTCTTCAGGTATTGGAGTTCCAGGATCACTAGCAGCTTTTGATACTTCAAGATTTTCCAATTCTAAAAGATCCTGTGCACTCTTTCATCTAGAATAAGCTTATTCCATTTGATATAACATTTACTATGTTTTGTTTCCTTCTTTTTTTCTTTAAGAAAATGTCTTAGAATCTTCTGTTCTTCGCGTTGATTATTTGTCAAATCGTTCGAAATGGAAATATTTGTATTTTTTAGCATAAAACCGTTTTTTAGAATTTCTTTCTTTTTTAAAAATGTTGTTAATTAAATTTTTTAACAGGTGGGTTATTAAATTTTCCCAGGGGGTGAACGTTATTTAGTTAACTTATTGTTATATATGTATATATCTCTAGAAGTGATTTTAATTATTTTTTTGGGGCCTATTTAACCCAAAAATTATTAGATTTTTTTTTGTTGACACTTTCTAATTTCTCTATCTTTTCTTTCAGTTCTCTTGGGTTAATTTCTATATTTTATTGTTTTGACCTTCAATTTCAAGAGTAACTTTAACTTCAGAAGCTTCTATCACTAAATATTAGTTCTTAGATTTCCTTATTTCTTCTAAAATAACTTCGATTGCTTTCTCATTCATTTTGAAAAATATTTTATTTGGATTTTTATTTTTATTTCCCTACATTTACTGTACTATATTTTATATATTAGGTGTAGGTGTATCAAAGATAAGTAAACACTGTTTTTTTTTTCTTTAGGATAATCGCTTGTTTTTGTTTTAGGATATTATTTTCTGTACATACGATTTTGTTAATTTACTTGTACACTTAGCACTTTCCTATAGGATAATTGCACATATAGTATTGTTGATCGATTATCGACACTTATTGTAATTTTCAGAATTTATTTTCAGTTTAAACTATTGAAATTTGATCATTTTTACGGAGCACTTTTCGAACGTGACTACCCAGTTTATAGCCCAAGCATTATATCTATTATTTTAATTAATTTATTTTTTGATTATATTTTTTTTTATCTAGAATTTGTTAGCCAAATTAAGATTTGTTCACACAAACTGCATTTTTGCTTTATTATAGCGTGCCCGTGTGTGCGTAATACAATTTCACAGAAAATGAACTATGCTGTCGATTGGAATGATAATGTTTGCTACAAAACGGTGTAGTCGAATGCCACATGAGTACAATAAAGAACCAGTTTTTTCACTAAATATAGTTTAATAAAGTTTTGTTGTTTTGCATGAACATAGAAAAAAATAATTTTTAATCTTCGTATATTTGTTTTATTTTTCTGTCAACATTCCTATACAAGTTTTCCATTAATTTACGGTATTAATTGTACCTATTTTATATTAAGAACATAAACATTAAAATACATTAATAGAAAAAAAATGGTAATAAATATAAATTATTAGTTTTGAAAAATGCTTGAAAATAATTTTTTAGTCTTCGTATTTTTGTTCTATTTTTCTATTTTTTATGGTGATAAAGAGCGGTATTTATATAAAAAAAAAACAATTAATTTACTTATTTTATTCATCTCAATTATTTTAAGTACGACTCTCATCAATGGTAACTATAATTTTTAAATACGATACTGATTTCTCGAGAAGACGGTTTACAGGTATTAAGTGATGTCTTATAAATAACGTCGAGTTGACTCTCTGTATATACTCTGTGGTTAGAGTCTTCTCTTATAAATGAATTGTGATTGGCTAAATGATATATAGGTCGATGCCAAAAAAATTATTTAAGTTAAAAAACCTGCTTACAGATTACGCTAATTAAATTTTACAATATTAACTGATATTTGTATTGAACATTTCACTAAACCATCAATGTAAATGTTTGAATAATTGCAAGCAGTGTGTGATGTAACACCTTTATGATTATACACATTCATTAATGACAGAAATTATTGATGTACAATATTTACTTTATGTCATACTAGTTCATTATAGTGAATTTATTGTTTAGTAATAGAATAGGCAATATTATACTTTA